AACATATAAGTTAACTATTGGAGTTAAATTGTGCCGATAGTTCTATACGCTCTCCCAAAACAATAGTAACACTACGTCGTATGCTTGACTTCATTTCGACTTCATTTCTTTATGTCGTATACTTCTTGTACCTTCTTTCTTCATAAGTTTTTCCACGTCGTGTGATATCTTGACATTACTCTTTTGGGTTGCGTTTTATTTACTTATTATTAGAATCTTTTTTAAAGGCTAATTGGCAGTGTCAATAATACGAGTAAATAATTTTCGAACCATATTTATTGTTGCTTCTCTTGATTTTGGCTCCGGGTTAAAAGTCTCTTCTGTTGCGTCCAGTACGTAGTATATTAAGCTTTTCTCGGTAAAAGCTAAATATGTATCGATATGTTTTCTTATATTTTTTTGTGAATCCGGAACAACAATTGCAGAATTGTTTATGTACAGTACAGTAAATCACAAAAATTTCCCACACCACACGTGTTTGTGGCGAAAATCAATTACATTTCAAGATTTGGTGTAACGTTTGTTAATATCACAGGACATTCGTATGATTGGTTGATGTGTTGATGTAGATCAATTTTCCCACACCACTCGTGTTTGTGGCGAAAATCAAGATTTGGTGTAACGTTATAATATCACAGGACATTCGTATGATTGGTTGATGTAGATCAATTTTCCCGGGTAACTTAAAACATATATATTCTAATATATTACAATACATTATAATACGTATACAATATTGGGCAAAATTTGTCGAATAACGGTAATTTGGCAAATCGGGGCAAATGAACATGTGCCGCTTCGTCATGATTGGTAGGGGTCATCGACTGAGTTTTAATTTGAATACTGTAAACATGTTTACATCGTAACACATGAAAAAAATAACAATTCATGATCAATAGTTTGCCGGATAAAACATGTCATGAACATTTAATATACAGTTTATTCACTTAAAATAAAGATAAAATTCCTTTATTTCACTTTGACAATAGACTGTTTATAGAAAAAGGGCCAAAAAATCGAAAAGATGAAATACGAAAATATAAGAAGATATAAAATATCGAAAAAAAATAAGCGAAAAAAAGGTATAAATACAATATATATATATATATAAAAGATGATAATTTGGACTACTTAGGTCTTTAAACATAGGAGCAATGTAATGTAAAAAACGTCACAGTCACAAATACTTTTCCCCATATTAACTATCCTTGAACACTTTTCTTAGAGATATGAATTTAACCTTAACTGCTTTGGAACTTATCCAAAATTTCCGGACCGGCCACGTCAAAATCAAGAAGTTGACGCTCGTAAACATTTCTCTTATGTAAATTAATACTACGACGAGCACTGGTACCACCGAAAGAATATACCATCGTCAAGTAATAGTCAACATTGTTTGGATTACCTACTATTACGCAATAATGATTTCTTGGAAGAGCGTGATTATAGTATGTTACAAAACGACAAACAGTAGTGTTAGTTCCACAGGAGTTGGTAATAGTAGTAAGATTTTTGGGGTACAATGCGTATCTAAATCCATGGTGATCAGCAGTAGAAGGAGTCTTTCCATAAGTATAGTTGCCTACGGCAGGTACGGTGGGGGTTCCGCTAAGCGAATACACCAAGGAAAAATCTAAAGAAATAATGTGAAGGAGTTAATAGAGCAGCAGTAGTAGTAGTAAGTAAGGTATTATTTGATAGAGTAATTCATTTACCTAAATGTGTAATCGTCTGTCCAGTACATGCACCCCATAGACCACCATTTTTGGGAACATAGACCGTAAATGTGTCGTATGGATCAACACAAATAACAGAATAGATCTATAATTATTTTAAATGGAGTTTAATTTATTATTTATCATATTTTACTTTATTTTGAATGATAAAGTACTTGTTCGTATGATAAGTGTTATAATGAGCTGATGGTTTTGAAAATTAAGGTTCGTTTTACAGATTTACTATACTTTAAATTTTATACTTTCTTGCAACATATCATGTATCAATGCCTTGAGGCCGCACTGATTAATTCATTTTATTTACCTGCAATAAAAACAGAAATCCGATAATCAAAGAGTTTTTCATGTTGTTAGCTACAGTTATTCAAATAAGTGTAATTCGTCAAAATTTTAATAGTATGTCGTTAAAATGATAATTGAAGTGAGGGGAGAATTAAAGTGAGGAGGGAGAAAAGACGCGACTTATATAAGTAATTTTTGATGTTATTGTTAATTATTGCTGTTAATGAAAAATCTTTTATAGGAAATTGTAAGGGTCTTGTGAATTTATATCAATACATGCAGTATTTAAAAAAGAATTCCGCATATATTTGAGAAATAAGGTTTCATTTCGATTCATTTATTCAAGAAAAATATTTATTATTTGGGTACACTACTAATACATGCTAATGAAAACAATTAATAAATAACTAAAGGTAGAAAGAATCATTACGGAGCATTTTCGAAAACTTCAGAATCTGACCATCAAGGACGGATTTCACATTGTGTCACAATTTATCCTATGCTTTATACCATCAAAAAATTGAGAGAATGAAAATGGGTCTTTGATTAATTGTCACTGACTATATGTACATGTTTTAGACTGTTAATACTGTATATACTATTATGTTTCTGTTTTTAGCTACCGGTAATCGTCAAAATAAATTATTATTATTAGAAAAATTTTTTTTTGACTCTGAACATCTCTATTTTACTAACACTTGTCATAAATAAAACTTGATAAACTATCCATCTTTAACACATTCCTAAATTTGGTGTTCTAATTTTGCAGACGTTAATGAGCTTAAAAAAGAAAGTCTATTTTATTTATTCATTAAAATTTTAAAGATGATCAGATTAAATTTAAAAATGGGCAAAGCGTTTCGTTCCACACGTATCATCTACATCATCTACATCTACAGATACACATGATACATGTTTTACAGTGCCTGATCAATAATATCACAATAATATCACATAAATAGTAATAATCTTTATAATCTTGATTGAGAGCTACTACGTATTAAATTTTAGATCTGGACTAGTGATGCCGACATAACGTTTTAACATTACTATGTTTTGGGTTATGTCACATGATAAAACTGATATTAATATAA